AAAAAATTAAAGTCATTGCACAAGGCCCTGGAAGGTCGGGATTTGGACCTGAGCAGGGGGTAAAATGACACATGAATCTAACATTTTTCTCAAAAAATGAGAAATCTAAAAACTCCTTAGAGGTAGTTGACAAATTCTCACACCTCTAACTGAATAAAACGTTACACTCAAGTCCTCTGTGTCTTGCATCTGTGCAAGAGAATGTGGGCATAAGAGTGAGATGGGAAGAGGGGGAAGCAAAGACACTGCAATCTGGACATTAGGGTCAGACATCAACAAGAATGCTAACATTAGCAATCAAATATTTATATTATGGGTAACTTACACCAAAATAAAAATGCTAAAACTTTTCTCAATTGAACTTCTGAAGAAAGATCATTTGTAAGTCCTACAGAATGCATGCACACAGTCAATATGATTAAGTTAGACTGCTCGTTTTATCCCAATGTTTTCCAGGAAGACATCAATGCAAGAAATATTCCACATGGTTCGGCTTCTTGTTCAGTGACTCCCACGCACAAAAGACACAACTCTTTCATCTCAAGATTATAGACATATTGTGTTCACAAGTCACAATCCGTCTGTCAGCTGAATAGTTCACTGATACTGGTGCTGAATTTTTACACATTTTTGAGAGAATACATTTTATTGCATTGTGCAGATTTTAATACCTACAAGTAACATATGCATTTGCTTAAGTGAAATGATTTATTGCATTAGGCTTTCAGAACAACTGGTGTTCAATCACTTATTAAGAATGTTATTCAGGTGTCAAACTTGCTCAGTTGGTATCATTCTCACCTCAGAGTTAGAAGATTGTGGGTTCAAGACACACGTCGGGACTTTTGAGTTTATAGAATAGACCAATGTTCCAATGCAGTGCTGGGAGTGTGGTTCATTGTCAGAGGTGCCATCCTTCAAATGAGAAGTCAATCAAGTTCCCATCGACTGTTTGGGTGGGTGTTAAATATCCTATTGCACTATTTGAAAAGAGAATGCATTTTTTCCCTTTGTCCTGAATAATATTCCATCAAATAAATTGATCATTCACTTCATGGCTGTATGTGGGACATTGCTATCCAGGAGGGGGGGTGTGGGGGAGGGGTGGAGTAGGGAGTAGATATCACCACAAAGAGCTTTCATATTTCCCAGATCCTCTCTTTTTNCATGTGACCTTCAGTCACAGGTCAACCAAATGGCCAGTAATATTAATAATAAGAATGTAATTGGTGCAGCACATTTCACATCAGGCGGATGCCTCTAAGTGCTCCGCAGGATGTACTGTGGTGTGACTGTGTGTTTTGTGGACAAACACAGCAGCCAAGTTGAAGTGAAGGACAAATTTTATAGGGGGATTGTTGGGCAAGACTCCAGGAGAAACTCCCTTCTCTTTCCGAATAGTGCCACAGGATCTTCAGTATCCACTTGAACAGGCCGATGGGATCTCAGTTTAACATCTCATCCATATAGGGACCAGATCTGGCTGCAACCCCTCAGGTCATGGTTCACTGTTTGGTGGCCACTTAGATCCTCTCGTGGTCTGACTGGGATCACCTGGCTTTCCAAAGACTTTGGCCCCAGGGAAACATCCTGCATGTGTTACAGGCAATGGGGCAACAATATCTTTTTCTTTTGGGTCAGCCGAGTGAGTATCTAAACCAAACAAAGTTGCATGGATCCCACCCACACAGGCATTCCTGTGCAATTGAATATGATGCATGTAGGAGGGACACATCCTGCTTTCCTAATTATGGAGAGTCTTTGGTGCAGGCTGGGAAAAAACAAGGCTTGGGGACCCCAAAGTGTGACTTTATCATTGACACTGAAAATACAGTACAAGATTTGCTAGTATTTGTTATTCATACACCGAAGATATAGTCAGTGTAAAAGTGGATCAGACTCTTCTAAAAAAGAAAAGAAGGTTCTAGTTTCTACAACTCTTTGTATCTGATTTGGTCATTAGTATTCATTTTAATATTGTCTTATTGACAAATGGGCCCCTATTCGGGACATTGCCTTTTGAAACATCATTTGTCACAAATGCCTGAAGAATTATATCAAGGAGTGGATGTTTCTGTCACAGAGATTTATACATTCTAAAAAGCATCACAACAACCCGACATTCAACATTAGCCGCCCGGCCTATAATCGATTAAGTAGAATGTCAGTTCTCATTGCACAATGACAGGATCAATGTCTGCAGGATTGCATGTCAAAACTATTCTTTCACAAGATGCCAAGTTCTAATTCATATCTATAATCTATTTTTTTAGCAGATCACCAAATACTGTCAATCTTAATTATTCTAAACTCAATTATAAATTGAGCATTTTTGGGGCTTAAATCCATGACCTCTGACTCCATGAATGTTTCCAACTGAGCCAGCCTAACACGCTACAAATATAGATTTCAATGGATTTTACAATCTAGGGTGGGGGATGGTAATATTCCACGCTGCCAACTAAAGGGACTTTGACCATAACTGGAAGGTTACTATATTTGGCAGCAAGTGGGATTGGGACATCCTCCCAACACGAAAGGCACTTTACAAATGTAATTTTGTTGTTTTTAAAAATTTATTTCTGTTGAAATTATGACAAGTGCGGAAATTGTTTGTAAATGCACCTCATTATATCCCATGTATTTCTTTCATCTGCTCCTAAACAGACCTTATGTCATACTCACACTCCACTGTGTTCATCAACGTTCAAGTGAATGGGTTCTTTCAATGCTGAATGTTGAAAATAATACAAGTTTGACCTTTGCGATTTGATAGAACTCCTGGAAAATGCAAATATCTTGCCAAAATTCAGCATCTAGAACATGATCAGAATTACAGCTCCCCTTATTACTTGTCTTATTGATGGTGTTAGCCTGGTACACATTGTCTCTGAGTCAGAGGTTGTGAGATCGAACCCTACATTGGGACTTCAAGTACACAGACTAGGCTGACACTCCAGTGCAGCACTGGGGGAGTACCGCATTGTTGGAGGTGCCATTCTTCAAGTGAGATGATAAATCAAGGTCCCATCTTCCTGTTCAGGTGGATGGTAAAGATCAAAATAGAAGGGCATTTCTTCCTATGTCTAGGCCAGCAGCTCCCCATATATTATTGGTCATTCACTTCACAGCTGTTTGTGGGACTTTGCAAATAGGCAGACATGTGTAATTACAAAATACAGTCACTACACTTTACGTAAGTCCTGAGAAGTGCTTTTTGTCTCTGCAAAGTGATAAGGCGCTGTATCAAATGCACGTTTTAATTATTATTATTATTGTTCTCAACAGTGCTGCTCCCACAAAGCACATGAAAAAGAATACCACTGAAAGGTTACACACATCTTCAGCCACTGGACAGGCTGCCTGCCTCCTGGGGAATCCCTACTATTTTGCTGGCATCCGGCAACTTTGGAAATACTATATGATCTTGTGTTCACAGTTGCCAGATTGCATAGGGAAGACAAAATGAAAGACAACACAATATGCAGGAAAAGCTTCCCACATTGCAAGTATGAAAGCAGAATGTCACTTCAACTAACCTTGGTTATAAATTAGCTGAAAAAATTGGAAAAATAGTAATGATAATAACAATGTCATTAATGAGTCATTCATAAAATGTCAAATAACCTACTGACCTTGTGAATTCTCCAAAATCTGTCACGCAAAAGCTCAGTTGTTGCCCTTAATGCTACTAAACCTATTATTTAGACAGTCAATCATATCAATAGCTTGTGATTTTACTTTATTTTGTCCATATACGCATACACAAACAAGCATCCAATAAGTTCTAATTCCCAACTTGCAGAGATTACTGTGCTATTCTCTAAAATTCTCTTGATTTAAAGAAATAATTATTCTGTAAGACTTTCAAAGTCAGAAGTGAACACTCATTCAGAAATGGTTACTCCAAGCCTGCAAATCAAGCTTACAAATTCTTACAAATCCTAAAGATTAAATTAATTACTTTGAAACCTCTCATCTTATGAAATCAGGGAATATTACATACCACAATCAGGTCATTTATCTTCACACCAGATTGGTTCAAGTAAAGAAGGCCCTTCAGCCCTTTTGATCTCATCGTTCCAGAATATCCGTCCTTTGGATGAGATGTTAACCCAAAGTCCTATCTGCTTGTTCAGGTAGACATGTCACTATTTCAAAAGAGAAAGGAGTTTCTCCTGGTGTCCTGGCCAACAATTCTCCCAAATAAAATTGGTCATTAATTTCATGGCTGTTCAATTGGACTCTACTGTTTGCAATTGGGCTGTCGTGTTCGCCTACAGACATACTTCATAGTAAATCCTGTGAAGCACTTCAATATGTCCTTCCCACACAGTGTGTCAAAGACAAGGTTTATTGTTACCCACCCTACTAACTTCCTATGATACATCAAACTGTTCTTGTAAACGAGTCTGGCCTCAATCACCCTTCCCAGTTTTCTTATTGTTGACTCACCGACTTGGGAAAATAAGAGATTTGTATTTTATCATTTTCTTGCTCTAAATTACAAGACAAGTAGAAAACTATCTAACGAGCAATGATAATTGAAATTAGTTTAAAATCTAATTGAAAAATTCTCTCATTACACCTCCTCAGATCAAATTGCTCCCTAATAAACTGCATTGATGACGTTAAATTATGTTTTTCTCGCTCAATCCGGGCAGCTATCCATCGTTCTCTGTATATTATAGAAACAGAAATTTTAAGCACAGTAGGAGGCTCTCTGTGTCCGTGTCAGTGCTGGCTTTCTAATTCTCTTTTTTTTATTAATCGCACTTCAAGCTTATGCAAATATAGATATGTGAATATTCAGAGGGAACATACATTCACACCGTATTAACAATATCAGAATAATATACCAATGTTGTTCACCAAGAAATACAGTCACTACACTTTACAGAAATCCCTACTTTGAGTTAGCCTACTGACATGAATTGTATGATAGCAAATGTAAGAATTATCACGTTAGTAGTAAATCACATTGATATAATTCCACTTACCTGCCAACAAGAAGAAACTCTCCCATTACACCAAGCCGTCTCATGGCCATCAGGAGGCCTCTCACTGTCATCCCCTCACAAAAACAGACCACAACTCTCGCTTTAGGCAGTCGTTCCCTGAGACTTCTTAGCAGTCTGTCGAAGCTCTTTTCCCCAGCATTGCTGTAGATTTTATCAGAGTGGGCAATGCACAGCCCCTCGTGTGCAGCTAACTCCTTGAAAGCTTCAATTCCACTCTCTCCGTAGTTTCCTGAAACACAAAGAGAAGTAAACCCAATTTGACTGAGGAGTAAAAATCCAAAGCTGCTTGCAGGAGCCAATCAGGCAGCTGGAGAGATTACAAAATTGGTTTGAATAAAGAAGGTCCTTTGATCCATTTGATCTCATCACTTCAGAATACCCAACCCACCATCCTCCAATCACAGCATCAAGCTGCTTTTTAAATGCTTCCCACTGTCCTAGCCTTAGCCATCTTTCTTGGCAACCTGTTCCAATCATTAATTATCCTCAGCGAGATTAAAGCTCACACTGCCTGGCATTTTAACTTTTTGCCTCAATTGAGTGAGCTGTGTCAATGGAGAATTAGGACAATGAGTGGGTATGCACTATAAAAGCAGCATTTCAGCATTTCATAATCTTTCAGCTGGTCTAGAAGCACTGAGCAATCTGCCAATACGCTCATCCAATCAAACCTTAATGTCTTGACCACAGTCTCTCAGGGACCTGCTGTTGACTTTCTTCATTCGTGCTTTCTTGATTGGTGCAATTTTTGCAAGGAGACCTGAACTGATTGCATCTACAAGCTGTCTCTGTCAGTCTTTAGTCTTTCAGCTTTACAACTGCTGTAATTTGGGCTTGTAAAGCACTGTTCAGCCAATTTTTAAGCTATGTAAAGGCACTTTTCAACCAATATAATTCTAATTTTAAAATAGGGATTTGCTCTATTTTAATAGATTTAATAATAGGTTTAAAATGTATAAGAGGTTAGAAAAAGCACCAGAATAGGATGGAAATAAAGATTTTAAAAAAAGGCAAGGAAGATGATTTTTTTTGAATAATTTGCAGTACACAGTATCTATTTAAATTGTATTTGGATTTATTTCAGTTAGGTGTAATGCTCCAGTATGGGATATATCTGCTTTGGGAAAAGTACTGGAGTAATTCAGAAGAGTTGCAGATGAAGATGAACATCTGTTCTATGAAATTCAATGGTTTCTGTACAAGACTCTAACTCCAATATTGTCTGAGGGAGGAAAGGGCAGGTTTGAAGCTATATTTATGTTGCAGTAATTTTATTGCTATTATGGTTGTCTTTTTTCCAGTGTCACAATGCATAAGCTGAAAACTGTCAGAAGTGATCAGTGCACAGGGAGAGGGGACAGGAAAATTCATTGTAATTCAAAGAAGTTGTTACTATTCCTTCTAATTTATAGGGGTACATTAAAGTAACCTTACTTTGATGTGATACCTTCACAGACCTAAGTTAGTAACCAATAAATAAATTACAAAAGATACGCTCTTTATAATGCAGACTCTTTATAAGGCTTTCAAATACAGCATTATAGGTTTTCCTCACAGTAATTAAACAGTTGAGAATTGAAGAGGAATTTGTATTATATTTGCATGAAAGTGTTGAATAACAGCAATTTTCACTTATGCAGCACCATCCATGGAGTGAGAGAGGGGATGTTGTCAATGGCACAGGCAAGGAAATGGAGTTTTAGATGGGTTTGAAAGCAGAGAGGGCGGGAACTAAGCAGAGGGAGTTTGGAAGACAACTCCAGACAACAGGGCCAAAGTGGCTGAGTGGGGGGCAAGAGGCTTGGATATTGAGTGTAGAGAAAGGGATTGCGGATATATGGTCTTTATTCCTTCTACGCTGTCTTGTGCTCTTAATCCACATGCATGTCCCTGTTTAACTGCTTATTACTGTCTCCCCATTAGGAAGCACTCTTTGAGGTGGTCACTCATGAAATATGTTTGTTGTTTATTCTCAGAGGGAACAATGTCTTTCATCCTTGAAAACCTTCCCTATCACAATTCTTTGTGTAAACAACAACAGCAGCAAAATTACATTTGTATAGCGGCTTTCACATTGGGAGGATATCCCAAGCCGCTGGATAGTCAGAATTTTGGACCTGAGCTGGGGGTCAGGATCAAGGAGGGTAGGGGGCGAACCAGGGTGATCGAAGGCACGGTCAAAGAGAAGGGTCTCGAAGGAGGCAAGGGAGGGGGCGAGGTGGAGGGACTGCGGGCTGGAATTCCAGAGGGTGGAGGCAGAGTGGCAGAACTCCCACCCACCAATAGTGGAGCGAGCGAGGCGGGGACGTGACGTAGGCTGGAGCCTGCTGAGAGGAGGGAGCGAGCAGGATGGCAGGGGGTTAGGAGATCACAGAGGTAGGAGGGAACAAGGACATGGAGGGCTTTGAAGGTGAGGACCAGGATCTTGAACTGTATCCTTTGTGTGATGGGAAGCCACTGGAGTCGGGGAACTAGATGCAAGACCATATTTCTTACAGGTAATAATTTTGTATGCATCTGTACGTAATGAAATATTTACTGCTGAGTTGCCTATCTCTAATCAAATGCACAATTACAAGATCCAAGTTACCTTTAGTAATTACCACCCTTCTTCTGCCTTCCCTCCCCGCGCCCCCACCACACACACACAGCACCACCACCACCACTGTGCTTCATGTATAACCTTGCAACATTATTATTCTGGAACTTGACAGCAACTAACCAATCATGCCCATCTATCAACCTCATTTCTCCTTTTTTTCTTCAGCACTTTCATTTCTGGAACACAATTCAATATTCATCCCCAGTGTTACTCTCAGCCATATCCTTCTTCAGCAGATTGGATTATTTTTAATAATAATTAAGTGTCCAAGCTAACACTAATGCTTTGCTCTCTACATGCTCTTAAATTCAAATCCAAAATCTCTCTCTGCTTTCAAGGCAATAACAACAGCTTTGCAGAGCTGCAGCAGGTCTAGTCAGTGATATTTCTGAAAGAATAATGTACTGCAGAATCTCACCTCCGATCCTCTTTTTTGAAACTGATGGTGACCAAAACCTCAACACACTAATAAGAGCACCTCAGTAAATAAGCCAAAATAAACTCGTCTATTGACTGTACTTGTTAGTGAATTTCCACTGCATTCTATATTTATTAAAATAAATCTTCAAAATATCTTTAAAATAGTCTGTAATCATTACTGATGAAAACAACATTTTAGATACAGACTGCTTTCATTGCATGTGAAAACATTTATACAACATAAGTAATGATTGCATTTGATATAATGCTTCATTATATCTTCGAGACGTCTCAAAATGCGTCACAGAATGTACTGTAAAGTGAATTGACTCTATATTTAATAGCAAATGGAATTTAGTGGAAAACTATTTCCACTGACGGGTGGGTGGGTAACCCGAGGACACCAATTTAAAATAGTTGTTAAAATAAACAGAGGGGAGGTGAGGAGAAGTTTTTCTATACAGCGAGTTGTTCGGATCTGGAATGCATTGCCTGAAAGGATGATGGAAGCCAATTCGATAAAAACTTTTAAGAGGGAAGTAGCTAATTATTTGGGGAAGACAAGTTTGCAGGGCTATGGGGAGAGAATGGGGAAGTGGGATTGATTTAGATAGCTCTTTACAAATAACCATCAGAGACACGATGGACTAAATGGCCTCCTTCTGTGCTGTATAATTCTATGATTCTATGAATTGTACATTTAACAGAATGATCTATTGTGTGTAAGCTGCAGCACATTGTATTTATAGCTGGAACAACACTTTTCCTAAAAAACATTTTGTACCCTGCTTATATGAGCACTTACAAGCAAAATAAAAATGCCCCTTGATACAATTCCAACAAATAATACTGTAGTGATTTGCTGCAAATGTTGCCAATGCCATCCTTGCCAATATCTGCAGTGCTTAGCAGATTGGGAGATTTTGGCTCAGTGCTTTCTGATTCATTTCAACCAGAAGATCCAAAAGCACCTTCAACATCAAGAACGTATGTGGACTGCAAACCCTTCACAATTTGCTCACCTGTGGATGAGTACCTTTAGGAACATAATAAAGCACACAAGAAGGACTATTTAACCATCAAACACACTCCATCCACAGATAAAACACAACCTACCCGGCCTGCCATGGACTCCATCCATCCACTCCAACTTCTGAAGGAAATTCTCTATTGCTCTAGATCTCTAAAAGTAATCAAGTAAAATTCCTAACTATTGATCCTTCTCCCCTCTCACTAGAGGGGAGAAGGAGTCCTGTAGCTCAGTGGTTAGAGCACTCGCTTTGTAAGTGAGAGACCTGAGTTCAATTCCAGGCAGGGCGAAACCTTGGGCAAGTTTCCTTACTCCACACAGAGCCTAATAATAATCCCTCCAAAAAAACAAAAAATAATAAATTGGTCATTTTCAATCAATCCATGACCATTTGTGGGACACTGCTGTGCACAATTGGTGGCCGCGTTCACTCACAAATATACAGTCAATTCACTTTACAGTTTATTCTGTGAAGCGCTTTGGGACGTCTAGAAGACGTGAAAAGCACTACATCAAATGCAAGGATTATTGCAAGGATTATTATCAGATACAGAAAGATATTGGAGCATTTGCTCATATCAGCCCAGATCTGTGCCCTGTTAACACTGTCCCAAAGCAGATAAATTCCCAAGAAAGAAATCGACATAGACAAAATTACTTTCATTGGAAATCACTCCTGAATATTCATTACCCTAGGAAGAGAAACATATCCTTGTCCAAGAATTGTTCTAAAGCACTAATCAGGAATTACTTTTACACATTCTCATTTAAGGTATTTAAGGATTTATATTTATCATTTTCTCCATATTTAAACGGTCAAAATATATAACTTGCAATTATATACCTCCCTTCATGCAGGATAATGTCTCGGAGTGATGCACTGTGATGGGATTGGACTCTGAGCAAGGGAGAAGAGATAGGTAGGATTTAAAGCTACGCAAAGATCAGCAGGATTAAGGCAGAGAGTCCCAGAATTTAGGGATGTAGTGCCTGAGGTCCTCAATTCATTTTAGGATTCCTTACTCTATCCTTCTGAGTATGTATGGAGGAGAAATGATTCAGGTGAATGTAAAAGATCCCATGTCACCATTTGGAAAGTGAAAAGGAATTTCTCATAGTATAATAATAATATTAATCTTTGCATTTGATACAGCCCCTTATCACATCTTCGAGACGT